GTCCCTCAGTCTTTCCTTGTAGGGCCTTGCCTGCAGGCCTCTGACCATACAAGTGGCCTCCTCTGAACCCTCTCAAGATTCTCCGTATCCCTCTTAAAGTCTGGTACCCAAAACTGGACACAGTACTCCAACTGTGGCCTGACCAATGCTGCATAGAAGGGAAGCATCACCTCCCTGGACCTGTCCATCAGGCATCTGCTAATGCATGATAAAGTGGGGTTAGCCTTGTTGATCAGTTTATCACATTGATGACCCATGTTCATCTTGGAGTCAACTATGACTACAAAATCCCTTTCCACTGCTGTGCTGCTGAGGTCATCCCCCAGCCTGTATGTTGGTGGTTCTTTTTGCCCAGGTGCAGCACTTTGTACTTGTCTTTGTTGAACTGCATCCTATTTCATTCTGCCCATTTTTCCAACCTGTCCAGATCCACCTGGATCTGTTCCCTACCCTCTGGTGTGTCAACTTTGCTCCATAATTTGGTATCAACTGTGAACTTGGACAGGGTGCTCTTCACACCCTCGTCCAAGTCACTGATGAAGACACTGAATAGCACTGGTCCAAGGACCAAGCCTTGCAGGACTCCACTGCCCACATCTTTCCAGGCCAATATCAACCTGTCCACCACAACTCTCTGGGTGTGACCCCTAAGCCAATTTGCCACCCACCTGACTGTGTAATCACCTACATCAGCACCTGCCAGTTTATTTATGAGAACAGAATGGCATACTGTATTGAAGGCCTTCTTAAAGTCTAGGTAGACGACATCTACCTCAACTCCTGCATCTAAGCATTTCTTTGTCATAAAAAGAAACAAGGTTATTCAGACAGGATCTACCTGCAATGAATCCGTGCTGATTTACTTTCAGCATTATTTCCCTTGCTGGGCTCCTACAAATGTGATCCTGGATAGAGGTGAGACTAACTGGCCTATAGTTTCCCAGTTCTGCCCTCCCCCCCTTCTTGAAAATAGGGACCACCTTGGCCCTTTTCCAGTCCTCTGGGACCTGACCAGAGCACCATGAGTGCTTGAACAGCCGTGCCAGTGGCTCTGCTATGACACTGGCCAATTCCTTCAGCACCCATGGATGAAGTTCATCTGGGCCCGCTGATTTGAACACATCCAGCCCCTCCAAGTGCCCCTTCACTAAGTCTGAGCTAACAGTTGGTGGGCTGGTGTCCCTCCTGTGTCTATCTATGATCCAGTTGGGAGATTTGTCTTGGTCTGTGTCTAGGAATACAGATGCAAAGAACTCACTGAAGAGCTCAGCTTTGTCCCCCCTCTGTCAACAATTGCCTTAGTTTATCCTGTAGGCATCCTATGCTACCCTGCATCTTCCTTTTGCTCCCTATATACCTGACAAAAGACTTTTTGTTGTCCTCAATTTTTGTCATCAGCCTAAGTTCTAATCTTGCTTTGGCCTTCCTAACTGATTCCCTCTAAGTGCGAGCCAGGGAGGTATACTCCTCCTTGGTAGCTACCCACTGTTTCCACAGCCTGCATTCTTCTTTCTTTGCCCTTAATTTTTCCTGGACTTCCCTGTTGAGCCAAAAGGGCTTCTTGGCCCCTTTGTCCCCTTTTATGTGCAATGGGATTGTCTCCTTCTGCACCCATAGGATTGCTCCCTTGAGAAACGACCACCCTTCCTGGACCCCCAGTTCACCAATGCTCTTCAGGTTTAACACCTCACTAACTAATCCCCTGAGCACATCGAAATTGGCCTTTCTGAAGTCTAGCACTTCAGCCCTGCTGGTTAGTTTACCCACCCTTCGCCAGATACTGAATTCAATTGATGGTCACTATCCCCTAAGTTACCTTGTACCTGCAGATTCCCCACCAGGTCATCCCCTGTAACTAACACCAAGTCCAGCTAGGCATTTCCCCTAGTGGGATCATATACCTCCTGTGCTAGGTGGAGGTCCCGTATGCAGGTTAAGAACCTCTGTGAGCAGTTAGATTTGGCTGACTGCTCCTGCCAGCAGATGTCAGGGTAGTTTAGGTCACCCGTGACAACCATATCTCTTGACCATACAGCTCTGAGAGCTGTCTGGAGAATTCCAGGTCTAGCTCATCCTCCTCGTGTGGAGGTCTATAGTAGACCCCCACTACCAAGTCCCTTTCCCCCCGACCCCCTTGTATCCTGACCCACCGTGCCTCAGTTTGGCACCTCTGATCCCAACTTGATTATAGAGGATGTATATTGTATATTGTTCCTTAACATAGAGAGCAACACCCCTCCTCCCTTTTTTTCTCCACTATCCCTCAATGCCTACTGCCCAATCATGAGTAGGGTCCCACCAGGTTTCAGTTAGTCCAACCAGTGATCTAGATGGACAGTGGCTCCTCCTACTTAGAGAGGGTGTGGGACAGGGTAAAGATAGCAGAACTAGGCTTCCTCTTTAATTTTTTCCCTCAGACTCTGAACCAGCAGCCCATCCTTTTTTCTACAACAAGGGCATCAAGCCCACCCTTTCCATGATGCACACGTGGCAGGGGTGCAGGTGGCTGTGGCAGTCTCAAGGTCTCCAGTGTGGCTTTGTATCTTGGATTCCAGTGGCACGCCCTACCCCTACTTGCCCTAGCCCCAAATTTCAAGACCCTTTACAACCTCCATGCGCCACACAACATGGCTCCATGGGCTGGATCCAGCCCTCAGGCCATAGCTATCTCTGGTCAGAAGGTAACAAGAGGCAAGGACCCCCTCATATCTGTGGGCTGAGATGAAATGGAGACAGAGCCCTGTCAGGATAACTCTGGGCCCACAGTACACCTATGTGCTCAGCACATGACACAAGCAGCTCATCCCTCCTCTAACCATTTATGATAGTGTTAAGGTGCAGGGTCAGTACACAGTGGAGAGAAGTTGTTCAAGATGGATATAATATTTTTGCCTTAAAAGCAGGAAATAACTTAAAAGTTACATTAAAGAGAATACCATTTAGGGTTTAAAATAAAGCACTTGAAGATCAAAAAGCACTGGGATCATGCTTACCTCTGCAACCTTAATTCTGTCCCATTGTATGTATACATTTTAGTACTGTCTTTAATATTATACGGTTACATGCCATTTCTTCCAACAGAACCTCTTGCTTTACTTATGACAGGCTAGGATGTTATGTCTTATGTTGTGTCAGAACTGACTGTGTTACTAATTTACTAACAGGTTAGACCAGGGGCAGGCAATTATTTGGGCCTGTGGGCCGCATAGGCAGTTCTGGGGAGCTGTTGCAGGCCAGACAGAACCTCCTCCACCCCCCCAAAGCAGCCCAGAGCCCATGTGGTCTGTGACTCTTCCCCGCCACCACCACCACCATGCCCTGTGGCAGGGGGTCAGTCTAGATGATCTGATCAGGTCCCTCCTGACCCTAGCTACTATGAAACTATGAAACCAGTGCCCAGCAGCAGCTGAGTGCACAGCCTCAATCCTTCCCCTGGCCTATCCTTCACTCGGACTTGCCCTGGCCAGAGCAGACCAGTTCCAGGAACCTGTGTGCACAGCCCCAACCCCGGCCTGCCCCATGCCTGCTGTGGACTGCCTCCCCACACTGAGCAGTGGCAGCAGCAGTGGTAGCTGAGCAGAAGCTGCTGGTAGGCATGAGGGAAAAGCAACCCCTCCGCCTCACTGCTGCTGGGCCTTTCTTTGCTGCAGCTACCCAGAGCCCGTGCCAGGGATGGCCTGTGGCTCCTCTCTACTGCCATCACCCCCACCTCTGGGCCACCTAGCAGGGCAGCAGTGGCAATGGAGAGGAGCCTCAGGGCAGCCTGGGTATGGGCTCTTGGCAACTGCACCAAGAAGGGCCCAGCAGCAGTAAGTGGGATGGGCCACTTTTCGCCTACACCTAGCAGCAGCTTCTGCCCAGCTGCCGCCACTGCTGCCACTGTTTAGTGTGGGCGGCGGGTCCACAGCAGGCATGGGATGGGCTGGGGTCAGGACTATCCATGTGGATTCTTGCTGATCTGGAGCAGGTCTGCTCCAGCTGGGGTGAGTCCAGAGCGGGCACGGGATGGGCCAGGGTTGGGGCTGTGCACACAAGTCCCTGCCAGTACCATGGGGCTGAGGCCAGTGGTGGTGGCAGCCAAGAGGACCTGCCACTGCCTGTGCTGCCTAGAAATGCAGTCCAGCTGCAGAGCTGCCCCAGCCACACTGCAAGCCTGGGGGCGGCAGCACACGCCTTAGGCTGGATGGTATCTGGGCCAGGCAGGACTGAGGGGCCCGCTGCAGGATGAACAAAGTCCCTCTGTAGGCAGGATCCAGTCCGCAGGCCATATTTTGCCCACCACTGGGTTAGATTATGGATTTGTATAGGATAGTTTGGATAGGGATGTTCCTGCCTCAGTAAGGGGGTTGGACTGGATGACCTACTAAGGTCCCTTCTAGCACAGCTTCTGTGATGCATTCAGTCTGTAGGATGGATACACATGCTTTTCCTGTTGTAGGCAACTATCAATCTAACTTTTCCTAACTTTGTCTTTCCAGCCTCTGCAACATACATTTAACATGCATGTTTGATACATGATCTATGTATTCCTGTGTTACACATGTGGTTACAAAACTGTCAGAGAGATTTCATTTCCTCTCTAGAGGAACTCAGTTTCTACAAGTAGACTGTATCCAGTAAGGTTTCCTGCACTCTTAACAGTGTCAAGTATGTGAGAATCTGGTTTCTTCTTTGCTATGCTTGTAGGTATTGGTCTCTTGTGAAATACATGCAGTTTTGTGCAGAGCTGTGCTTTTGGAACAGATACTTTCCAGTTACCAGCTATAGGATAGAGTATAACTGGTTTTGCTGATTACTTTACAGTTTAAGGACCTGATCTAAAGCTCATGGAAGTCATTGACTCCTTTGGATAGTGTCCCAATTACTCAAAATAATGCATTTAAAATAAATTATGCTCTTGTTAATATCCCTTCCCAGCTAAGTGTTTGTTACCTTGGGTTGCAAAATATCTTGAATCAGATCCAATATAATTCTAGATTTATTAATTACATGCTGCTTACCAAATCCAAAAGCGCTAGAACCACCAATACTTTGGGAAGCCTGAACACTGGTAGATGTGTAGAGTCCTGTTACCAGTAAGCCATCAAAGTAGGTACTTGTTGAAATGGTGACTGAAAAAGAAAAAAAAAAGGAAAATAATGTAATAACTTCTGAACAATATGCTGGATTCTATACTCAAACTCTACAGACAGGATTCTGACACCCCTCATTACACTGACTGCAAACTTCACTCCACCCGAAGTAAGTGGAGATTCTCTTAGAGCAGAGTACTTTGGATAAAGAAGGGTAGCAGCCTTCTGCTCCAAGACCAAATAATGAATTTCAGTTCTGTGCAAAGGAAGAATCCTGAAATACCTCAAAGAGAATACACTGGTGACCATAAATTTGTTTGCAAAACTAATATATGTAAAATCAACTTTGCTCAATCTAATCATCTGTCTGATTTTAGTTTTTACTTTTGTATTTTTTCCAGGGTTTATATAACGAAAAATGAGTCTGTATGATTTTTTACTCGTAAATTAATCAGAAATCATTTGTCATTAATAATCTGTAGCATGAAGCAGACAAATTGTGCATTACAACACAATTTAAAATTAATATAAAAAGGTTAACCTCCTCTCCATCTGCCTGATATATTTTCTTACTTAAAAACAATAACTAAAAACCGTATTCTACTGTAAATTAAATGTACTTTTTTGGGGGGTGGGAATCAAATATTATTGTCACTTGAACTCGTCTCTCAAAACCCTATAGTAAGTGGCATAAGTAATAAATCAAGGTTTATAGCGTTGCTCTCCATGGATTTCAAATGAGCGCTACATGCCAACTGTAATAACCATTTAATACTTTAATGTGCAAGTCATGTGACATAGGTTATCACAGAACAAATGTATTGAAATAATTAATTGGATACCATTTTGGAAATACATTCAGACATATTATTAAAATGATCATTTCCTTAACACTTAATTTTTAACTTAAATACACACAGACGGAAACACAAACACACATGCACATGCATTACAAAATCACCAACATTCACAGTTTTTGCAGGATTTATTTTGTAAATAGTTATTCTCAAATGTTTGCTTTGGTGTCTTATCAGATTGTTTATCCATTTATACAGGAAAGTCTGCACAGCATCTGCTTGAGTGGTTCTAACTTGGAAAGACTGGACTTATTTCATAATAGCTTTTCTTCCTCCTATATAAATGCAATGTACATCATATGCTGTCTGCCTGGAAGGACTTCCCTGATCCTAAAACACCAGGTAACCCCCTTCACCCTTTTATAGTCTATTGTTGAATTCCATTTTTCTTGACATTCTGCCAACCACTTGCTCACACAGCTACACTTTAAAAAAAATGGAACACACATTTTAAAACATTCACAAATAAATACGTAAATAAATAAATAAAACAAGCAACTAAATAACATGATACTACGTTAATTCCTTTTTCATTTCCCCTCTCTTCCTAACACCTTCCTTTCATGCCCTGCTTACTTTTGTTGTAATCAACATTGTAAGGTCATTTTATCCCAATTTTTGCATACCATTTTGCATGCCTACAGCGTATATATATGCATCAACCCACTGTACACACACACACACACACACACACACACACACACACGGAAAAGCTCTCATGTCCCAAACCTAGAGAAAGATGCAATATGCAGTCTCACTGACTTCAGTGGGATGATGCATTTTTTGATGTAACACTAGGGTGGCCATTGGTCTTGTTTTTAAACCCTTTGTCCGCTGTCTATTTCTAAATGAGGAATAGACTGCAAAAAGTCCTGTTTTCCAGTTCATTGATGGAAATACATGTCAATCATTTGTCCTCATGATTCTATTGGCTGTGCCTAGAGGTAGGGTGCTGCACAGCCAGGAGAAGCAGGGTTCTCAGCCAGCCAGAGAGGGAGGGAGTTAGCCTTTTTTGCTAGCCCCGCCACTTGCTGCTGATTGGTCAAGGGGACTAGTGGTTCCCCTGCCTCCTCACCAAAGGGATGTCCTGTATTCTGCGGATGTCAGTGGCCACCCTATGTAACACACAGACTTTAGAGTGACCAGTCAAGCCTTCCTCCTCCTCCTCCTCACTTTGCACCCCGTCCTTTTTTTTTTAAGGTATAGAAATCAACACTGGACTGATTAAAATCTCCTCCCCAAAACGGCTTTGTCACTCTATGCTTTCTTTCTCCCACTGGAAATATTATGTGCTGAGGAGAGATTAACTGAAGCACCCATAAAGCACTAGTTCATTTTTCTACCCCATCACCATCTAAATAAGAACATTTCTAAGACATATATCAATGCAACAAATCTATTCTAGCTGCATCTTCAACAGTCATTCAGTGGTTACGCTTGGAAACATACAGATCCAAGTGATTTTTTTCTTCTTTTTTTTAATATGTTCATGTAAAATGCATGTAGACAATGACAGAGTTAATGTTTTTTAACTAACGAAGTAACTTTGTTTGAACTCCTTTTTAACTCAAGGAGTAACATTCAATATATTTACCTCATTGTTGAATAATTTATATTGTAATTACCACCATTTCCAACAGGAGGAAAAACAGGAGATTGACAGCTCTACTCTCCATTTTGGATTTTGTATTATCAGAACACATGCATTGTCAAACAAACAGAAAACAAAGGTGATCAGACGTCTATAAAATATTTTGGGGCAAAACAATGAATGCTTTCTACTTTTGATTTTGACGCATTAAAATACAGAGCTTATTCTTTCTTTTGTATTCTTTATGCTGGAAAAAAGACAAATGCATGCTGAAAAATATGCTTGAATGTCATTCTAAAGACAAGAAAAACAGTAGGTGAAAAGCACTGATAGAGTATGGGCACAGGGCCAGTATTATGCTGCCATTTTGTTTCACTGTTGGATATCACCTTATTCTTTATTGAATAGGATATAATGTAATTTCCTGCTGTGAGCAGGTGACCAATCTCTCTCTGAAAAGGAAGGGATATTTTACAATGTCTATATTTGATTTTGGACATATTTGTGTGATCACCAATCCCCAGTTTTCATGAACAAGTAATAGGTCAATTTTTATTGTTGAAAAATATCCAACACAGTATGGCTTCCTCATTAAGTCTGCTGGAAACTGAAGAATGCCTTTAGCATATTTTTATAATGGAGCACTAGGTTGTTATTATACATGTGTCATACATTTCTGAATAATTTCAGAGTGAGTTCAGCAAGAAAAAAAATAACTGTGACATTATCAGATATCATTTTTTGTATATTTTCTCCTTATTCAACAGGGAAAACATCAAGTGGTTCATGTAAAATGAACGAAATATTAACTTTTAATAAGTATAGTATATAATTAACAAGCATGAAAGAAAAAGCTATGATACTATATAGCCAAACAGGCAGGGTCATGGCTTTGTATCCGAACTTTGCTTATTATAGGCTATATATTCCTTTTCTTGCTCCAGAAGAGCAGTAAAAAACATTCCTTCTAGATTCAATTATCTTTGCATACTGGATAGCTCCTTATGCTCTCAGCATGGAAAGTGGAAATTAAGGTGAAGGCCTACCTGAAGGGAGTGGCCTCAACCTTGCAGGTGGCAGCTCTGTGACCACCGCAATTATGTTTTGAGAGACTGTGGGTGACCTGGTAGGGAAATCCCTATATTCTCAACTCCCAAAGCATCTGTCCTCATGGGATGACCAGGGAGGAATATTCCTCTCAATTCCCTAGCCACATTAGTGAGAAAAGCCAAGGACATACTCTTGGGGAGTTGGGATCCACTGGGCTGCTTTTGAAAGCTGTGCTAAAGGCATCAATCCAGCTGAGAAGTGGGATGCCACCACATACTGTCACTGAGAGTACTGGCAGGCTTCCAGAAGCCAGTGACAGACTGCCCAGTAGGGAATCATCAGTGGCTAGGGTGGGATTCTGAGTCGACTGTCTGTTTACAGACAAATTGCCAGGAGAATGACAGGAATCACATGAGAAAGCCACTGAGATCAGGAAGCTGAAAGGCAAGCATGTCAGATGCCCATATAGTGTGCCTCCAGCCATTCTGAAGTAGATTAGCAACAGAAACTGAGAACAGAATACATCTTTTCCTGAAGTTTGACATGGGCACACTAGAAGAAATGCTACAAAAGAATATGATAGGACAATAACATCCTGCCAAGTTTATAGGCAGATCTGGTAACTTCCCATAAGAAATCTGATTTTCAGTTTCTTATAACTTAGCCAAGCTTAAACTATTCCTGAGAGAACCATGGGATGGGATTGGCAGAAATTTCCCATGCCAGCTACCCATTTCAAGTTGAATTTTTCTGAAAAATTTCAGTCAAAAATGTTTTAGCCTTTTTCAAAAATGAATTGAGTGAAAAATATGTTGCTTTGCTCACCCTAAATTCTATCAATCTTACTTCTGAGTTTCTTTAGCACCTCTGGACTTTAAACAAGGATTTGGAATTGAGCAGTGTATGGCTTTTGTGTCAAAAAGACACCTTGTGCTGTCCCACAAATTTGGGTAAGTTATAAGCCTATGAAAAATTGTAGTTAGACTTAAGCAACTAAAAATCTCTGAAGATCCCATCTTTGTGTAGCATGCCTGAGATTCCCACAGCTTTCAGTGCTGCCCAGTTAAGTTTGCTGGAACACAATCAATTAAATGTAATTCCACCTAAATATGCAGCTTTGTTGAAGCTGGAATTATTCTTGGAGATGTGTCATTCTCAGTGACATTTTAATTTTCTTTGATTCTCTGCTTCCATAGTCCTCTCAGGAAAGGGCACTCCCAGGCATGTCCTACCCACCCACTCCCACTTGCACATACCAAACCCTGAAATATGGCAGTGGGGTGTCCATTAAATCCACTCAAGCACTCCATAAACAAAGGGCTTGAGAGAGCAGCCATGTGGCACACCTCCAAAGCAGCTTCACTGCTTTATTTCCAGCTCTCTGCAAAGCTGACATCAGCAGCACACCAGCCAAGGCCCAGCCAGAAGGGCAGGAGGAACCAGGAGGATCTAACTGCAGAACAGGGAATGTGTGCACTGTGACAGGCTCAGGACTCATTGCTGCGTTGGCATCCGCATGCCCAGCCTGAGGGTAAGCTGGT